GTCTCACATATGGATATTCCGTCACAGTGATGCCCGGCCCAATGCAGATATCACAGGGAGCCTCTACATCGGCCCCTGCCCTCCCCCTGAACGCGTACACCCGAGCGTTGCGGCCCCAGAGTTCGGCATGGCATTGGTAACCGCACTGTAGCCTCCGCATCTTTCCGCGCAGTGCGAAGGACTCGAGGCAAACTGCGCACTGTGTGAATGATATATCCAACACCGCAAGTGCGTCTGAGCTCGGGCACGCCCGCCCGCGCCGATGCAGCGATGACTCATCCGCTTCGTATGGAGGCGGCAGTGGTCCATCCCTGGAACTTGGAGTGGACCTCGCGGTCGGCGCGTGTCCGCGCTGAACGTCGCGGTTGGCGATCTGTTGCATCCGCCTTACATGTCGGTCACGCGCGGCACTCCGGGCTACTTTCGCTGCTTGCATGTTTGCTTGCATCGTGGCGTGGCTATCATGCAAATATGTCGGGTTAACCTCGAGCGCTGGTGGCTGCGCTATCGCGTTTGGGTCTGTAGGCGAAGGGCGATAATCCATGTGAGGATGCGTCTGTGAATCTGAGACACGTGCCGTTTGCAAACGATAGAAGTCATCCGCCATGTCCCGAGTCACTTGCTTCTGCGCCAATTGGCCCACCAATGGTGTTTCATGGATCTCCGCATGGTGCTCGGGAAATAGCGGATGTTCCATCTGTGGTGGAGCTGGTCTTTGGAGTGGAAGGTAAATTTGGTGCGCGGCGAATGCAGGAATGAATGGCAGCCTATCTGGGTTGTCTGTCGATGGACTCGCATCGGGGTGCCATTCCCAGGGGGGCGCCCACTTGTTCCGATCTGTCGCATCCATGTCTGCTGCTCACGTGCGGACTGCCTGTGTCCAGGCTGGTCCGTTATTGGGACTACCATCGGTGAGCACGTTGGATTGCCAATGGCCTGGCCTTGGCGTGGAGTGCAGAGGGGCGTTGTTGCCCTTGTAGTTGCTGCCAAGTCAGGATGTTGGCGCAGCGTGGCCATGCGCTGCACAAGGTCATCATTGCTCGTCGATGCTGCATGTCATCCATCGGGCGCGTCCGCCCCTGACGCCAGGCTCGGCTCGGACCTTGGCTGACCGAATGCCGCGGGCTCGAACCTAGTGGAGCCAGCGTTTGGCAGCGGCCTTGCCGGTCCGAAATTCATGGGAGGCCCTGCTGGCACATTGCGCAGGGCATCGGCCCACGGATCGAAAATACCGAAAACATCAGAGATATTAGAGGAGACGTCGTTGGATTGCGGTATCACCCGTGATGATGAGCCTGTATCGGTTGGCAAGGCTGCCGGTGGCCCGGCATATGTTGGCGTGGCTGTGTCAGCAGGTGTCCCCGCGTCCATCAGTGGGCGAACAGTTTCAATGGAGCCCCTGGGTGCGGTTGCCCTAGCGATGAGTTCAAGTGCGAGTGAGTCCATGCCAAGATGTCCCATGGACGTGTCCGCCCCAACACGAAACGGTGCATCGGGCTCGAACCAGCTATCCTGAAGTTCAACGTCGCCCATGGTCACCGGCCAATCCCGTACATCATGGTGTATGTTTCTGCTCGTCTTCGGGCTTCAGCGCATACTGCGCGGCGTACTTGGTCGGCATAAATCGTCGAAGCAATCCGTCAAGACGATGCCGCCGGCAGAACGCCACACCTTTGCTCCGTCTTGTATCAAACGCGGGAAAGATATGAATATGTGCAGTTTGGAGTCGAGCCTACAGCCTGAACGGGTCCTGGGGTCTCCTGGCAGGAACGGGCATCCGTGCACCAACTGCCTACCGCGCCTTCCTCGTAGGTCGTGCTCCGCGCGACTGGACAGCCCGTGCTCAGCGATGCTCCGTAGGTATTCCCTATTGGTTCCGCATGAAGAACCAAAGGGGATCATGGCCGCCTCAAGCTGTCACTGGAATGCACAAGGATTCTGGGCACGGAACGCCAGGGGGCGAGTGTCCGCTGGCGGCTCTGATCCACAGCGCTGGGACATCCTCGTTACCGTGCGTGTACTTTAGCTGGAGGCGTGCCTTGTAGCGCCCGAATAATCCGTCGTCTCGGCGATGTGTAGCAGTAGCCATGTGACAGATTCGGGTGGCGGGCCAAGCATCCACTCGGCGACTGCGTTGTAACGATGGCCGCCCCAATGCGGGTCATAACATCCGAAACCGAGGCCCATCCATAGCGAGGGTCCCATGATCAACAATCCTTCATGACTTGCTTACTCTAAAACTTGTTACGGAAAAGCCTGCGCCTGAAAATGTGAGACCACCGCGCAAACATAGCAGTCGTTTCCGGTACGTTATGGAAATAGTAATTCTAATTTATCCTCCGCATTACGGATTCGAGCCGCGCCCTTTCCCCCGGGAGATTCAGGGGCCCCGCGTTGCGGAGCTTCCTGCGCGGCCTCTCTTGCGACGGTTCGGCGGCGGGCTGCGTCGGCAGAACAGATGGGCCGGGATGATTATCTTTGTTGGGCGTGATCGCCCCTC